TAGGGACTGACTGGGAACTTTCTGGATTGAGCAACGTTCTATATCTTAAGAGGGGTTTGGGTTATAGAGTGTAAGAGTCAAGAGAATGCACACTTAGGATTTGTGCCTTTTAGTGTGCAATTTTTTCATTAAAAACAAACAGCAGCTCAGAAGTTTGAGGCAGGAGGATCACAAGTTCAAGGCCAGTTTCAGCAACTTAGCAAGGCCCTAAGCAACTCAGCAAGTCCCTGTCTCTAAATAAAAAATGGACAGGGGATGTGGCTCAGTGGCTAAGCGCCCCTGGGTTCAATCCCAGTACAAAAACCAACCCCCAAAAAACCATATTACTTCCGATTGATGTATGTGCTTATGTATTTAGAAGCAAGTATACTGATGTCACTAGCTTATTTGGCAATGTACCAAAAATAGGAAAGATGAAAGGATGAGCCAGGATGGATAAGTGGCTGGGGATGGAGAGGTGGACTGCCATAAGTCAAGTGGAGTCAGATGGCAGGTGGGTACACGGTTTATGTTTTTATAATAAGATATTGGAGCCAATAGTTTTAATATTTTTTAGTTGTAGATGGACAGAATGCCATTTATTTACTGATTTGTTTTTATGTGGTGCTAAGGATCGAACCGAGTGCTTCTCACATGCTAGGCAAGCACTTTTCCACAGAGCTACAACCCCAGCCCTGGAACTAATACCCGAGATAAAATTTAAATAATTTTGTGCTGACGGCCCTTCAATTTATTGACCAGGATTTGTAGTTTCATAAACATAAAGCCAAATATAGAAAGATATAACAATTTGCCTAATTAAACAGATCAGAAAACAGATGAAATTAAATAGCAAATCAAACCTGGCCCTGGCAGGGCTTCCCACCCTACTTTCATGCTCTCCAGGCTTTCAAATCTAGACACACTATCTTACTCCCTTCATCAAGGAGATCGGAGGGCTAGCTCAGTGTTAGAGCATTTGCCTAGCATGCCTGCTTCTCAGCACCAGGAAAACAAAAACATTTTTTTTTTTTTTTTAATAATAAGTGGGTCTGAGGCTTTCAGGGGTGGAGGCTTCCTGTACCTGGTGCCTGGCCCTGGCAGTACTCAGGCACTGATCAACTTGCTGTCGGGTGTGAGTTTGGTAGGACCATCTTCAGTTCCTTAAAGAATTAATTCATCAGAAAACCACCTATTAGGTGCTGTATTCCCAGGAAGCTTCCTCAGGATACCAGGGTAGTGGTAACCTATCACCATTCAGGAGGTAATGGCCATAGTCAGCCAGCCTGTGGCTCTGATAGGAGACACAGGGACAACAGACACTTCTGAGGAGGCATCCTGAGGGCTGTGCTGCGGACAAACCATGAACGAAGCCCTGGCACTCAAAACAGACGGGATGCAGAAGAGCTACCAAGAAGTTTGCAGGATTTTACCGAAAAGAGTTGTTTTCACTGTGTGCCATATGGCGGGCTCTTTACTTCTTTATACCATATGATTAAGCAGAATTTTTGCCGTCTTATCGGTTAAGCCCTGAAATAGATGAATTGCTCTCCACTAATGTCACAGGCAACACAGGATTTGAGCACATGTACACTACTCCTGAGCCCATACCCCCAATCACAGCATTATCCTTCTTAATAGCATATTTGTAAACACAAGCCTTCAACTTGAGTGACGGGCACATTACCAGCTGGCAGAAACCCCTTGGGGTACCTGGGTAGACTGGAGCCAGAAGTGAGCACATTTTCTCCATGTGCAGTGAGACACACTGCCTGGGGCCTCATGTGCTTCCTCAAGTCCTCTGGGGCTGGGCAGGTGGTAACAAGGAGATCCTTGGGTGGCAGCCGCCTCAGGTCCATTCTCTAGACTGACCCCACAGCTGCTGCAAATGAGTCTGATCAACCTCAGCCCTGCTTCAACAAGCTTTGATTTTGAGCATTCTTAGATGGCATCGCAACCCAAGCTCCCATCTCTTCCATTCTCCTCCATGACTCAGGGTATGCTTCTGACACAGTCATATGGAAGTTCTAGGGTTGTAGACTCCAAAGGACTAGGCTGTGATACTGAAGCAGCAGCAACTAGGTGTAGGTAGAGGTGACTCCTGTCAGTCACATGATCCACAGAGCAAGCCCTCTCCCCTCTGCTGGGCCACGGACACTTAGCTTCCCCAGCACAATATACCAAACTGACGCTCTTTAAAATTCCTGTGGGAAAATGCAGTCTGAATGTACACCACAGCCCCTGAAATAAGTGACACCTGAATGCGTGTCTGGTCAAAACGACTCATCCCAGAAATGGATGCTGGAAAGGTTGCCTGGACCCATCCATACACGTTTGGCATCCCCTCAGCCAGACTCCAAGCAGCTCCAAGACCTGTCACAGCCCACAGCCTGACTTGGGACTGCTGCCGGCTGACCATGCACTGGTGACCACCTGGAATCAGGCCAGCACCTTGGTTCACTCTTCTGTCCCTGCTGAGGAAAATCACAAAAAGACTTCAAAGCTGCTTGAGTTAAAGTCTCCATTTATTTTTGTTTTTTGTTTTGTTTTTTTACAAAAAACATAAGACCATTGTGCTCATGATTGGAAAAGGGGTGGATGGATGCACATGGCATGATACCAAAGAGCCCCCTTCAAAGCAGCATCTGGAACAAGGTGCTCCCTGGGCACACCCAGGCAGCTCCTGGACAGATGGCTCCCAGCCATCCAGCTCCTCTTCCTGGACAGGACCCGTTCAGGGTCGGTGAGTCCTGTGTGAGGCGCAGCCCCCACCAAACAGAAGCACTGCTGGGGACAAATACGCAAGGCCTGTGAGCACCTAGGAGGCTGTCACCAAGCTGGGCAGTCCTTGCCCTCAACGTGAAGAGCAAGCTGGCTAGCTGGAAGCAAAGCTGTCTCATCGAGAGCTGAGGCCATGGAACAAGTTCTCCAGAACACAGCCAAGGAGGGCTGCTTCCCTGTGGCAGAGTCCCCACTATCCGGTGTCCCACAGTAAGCAGCATCAAAGGTAGGGCCCAGGGACTCTCCCAATCCCATCCTGCAGACAGCAGGCACTCCCAGGAGCACCTTCCTAAGAAACATGCATGTCCAACTGCTTGCCCCTCACTGCTGAGTACAGTGCAGGAACAGGTCAGTGTCGACCAGGGGTCCTTCAAGTCAGTGTCCTGTCAGTCCCAACAGTGCTATCCCTGTTTGACCCTCCCACATCACAGCCTCCCTACAGCACATTTTGATGGTGTCCATGAATGAACCGCATGGAGGGACCCACAGATCTGCCCCCACTGAAGCGGGTGGGGTCCTGCCACACAGACAGCTCTTCCCCAGGTCTCTACTGCATCCTCACATTAAAAGAAACAAAATAGCAGCCACATATATAGCTCAAAACACCACACTCTTTGGCTCCCCTGACAGAAGAAGGTTACTACTAAAATTAATAGTCCAGAAGTCAAGGAAAGGGCAGTTAGAAAGTAGGGTAAAGGGGTCTGGACCCCTTTGCTGGTTGCTGAGAAGCATAACCAAATTCCCCAGGTAGCTGCCTTGGCAGGAGCCACAAGATGCCAGTGGGAAGGTGTGGTGATGCCAGCCTGGGAGACCTAGGGCCTGCTGGCCGATGAGGAGAGCTCCCTTGGGTCAAGCCAGCTCTGGAGCTGAGTGGAATCTACAGGAAAGAGCCTGGCTTTAAAACAGTGGAGAACCCATTTGGTCCACACAGGCCGGAGGAGAATGTACCCCAAGAAATAGAAGCACAGGATGTCAAGGTCTAGGGAAGACGGAACTGGCTTAAGGCATGTGATGACCAGGACAGACCTGAGCTTTTGTTTGACTGCTGGGAACCTGTGCTCAACTCCACTTCCAGAAGTGGGGCTCAGAAAAAAACAGTGGTTATGGGCTAAATCCCCAACAAAAGACACCAACACCCTCCTGAGTTCCCCCACTGCCACTGTGACCAAAATTAGCTTATTTCACTTTCAGCCCAGGGAACAGAAATTAAACTAGTAGTGGAAACATAACAAACTGTGAACGCCTGTTAAAGTCCAAGGCTGGATTTGAACTGCCCTAGCACATCACAGCCTCCCAATGTCCTAGCACACACCAAACCTCAGGGGGTCCTACAGACAACCTAGCATTAGGGGTCCAAAAACCACAGGTAACAGGTGGAGATCCAGACAGAGGTGGGGGAAGGTGAATTTCACCAAGGTATTTATCCCAAGGCCAAGTGCCTTGCTGCAAGTCTTCTTCCCGGCCAGCCGGGTGGGATCCTCAAAGGTCACGTGCTTGTTGTATGCCAGAGCTAGCAGGCCCACAGACCACAACCACATCTTCAGGTACAGCCTGCAGCTTTCCTGCATCTCATCCAAGAAAACATCTGAAGGAAGCCCCACTCCAGAGGCACATGCTGTTCCCAGGAGGGCCAGCCAACCAGAGCCATTTGGCAGTGCGGGCCTTACTCCTGCCTCATTCTCTACTGCTTTATTCCTCTCTCTCAAATAAGGGAGAGAATGAGAGAGCAGGGGTAAATCCTGGGACAAGCTCTGGCCTAATGACAAATCCTCAACCACTAGACCCAGCAGGTCGCTCCCCACTTAGCTGCTCTCTCCATGGTGCAGATCATCCCCAAGCTCCCTGGAGGAGGAACAGGAGAAGCTGATTACAGATCAACAGCTGGCAAAAGAAAGGGTCAGGAACAGACCACAGATCCAGTCTTGTCCAAGGCCTGGTAAGAAGGCCAAGTCCATCCCTTTCTTTTTTCTGCACTCAGATGTCCCTGGGGCATGGGAGAGGTAAAGGATAAGCCAGGTAACAAGGCCAGAATCCATTTCCTCCAAATTGCAGAACACAAGGAGTCTGGTAGGACCCTCCCACAGAGAGAGGGGCAAAAATTTCAGACTCCTCCCACCAAATATATATATATATATATATATGTATATGTATGTGTGTGCATACATATGTACATACACATATACGTGTATATATGCACACATATATAAATAAGCCTTGAATGGCAGATCTGAAACTTTCTCTTTTTAAATAATAATAATAGTTGTTATTGAATTTAAAAACCACAAACCAGCTGTCCTGGGCTTTTGAACTAGTGAGTGACTCTCCAGAGTCCCCATGGTCCTCAGTGTGCGCTATCAGTCAGTGCCCTGTGTGGAAACCCCAGGTCTGATGACCAAGGATTCCAGGCCCAGTGTGGCCGACTTCAAGAAAAAGGCAGCTATTTCCTTTCCACTCTTCCTGCTGCCTCTCCCAGCAGAGGGTCTGGGCCACCCACCCAGTGGATGTCCCCAAGGTCCTTAACACCTTGGGAACCTTGGGAGCCATCTCCCTCACTCTCCCCTTCCTCTCCCCAAAACCTGCAATGCCCCTAGATGAACTTGAAGCACTTGGTCTTGTCATGGGGCAGGCGGGTCTTGAACAGCACAGAGTCCACCCTGAACTGAGTATATAGGAGGGGCATGTAACCGTACACCTTGACAAAGAAGTTGATACACTTGTGGCGCTCATGAAAGTGGGAATCATCATGTGACAGGGCCTGAGGGCATCCTGGGCATCGGAAAGTCCATCGTGATGTCACCTGGGAGCAGGGAAGAAAACACAGCGTAAGAATCATAATGCTCAGGTTGATAGGAACCTGGCAGCTTTGCCAACCCAACGCCATTTCCAGTGACACGCAGAACCAATGGCCCCACTCACACAGAAAAAGTCGGAAGCCAGGACATGAGCTCAGGGCTCTTTCCCACCATGTGCATATTTAAAACATTAGTAAGGCATACTTTCCAAATGACCTGAGCTTAACAGATATCAAAGACATTACAACATTTAGTGTTATTTGCCTCGGTAATTCTACTTCCAGTATTTATCTTGGTTGCATAGCAAGATGTTAATAAAATTTTGTTCATTTCATGTTTTTAATAGCAAAACACTGGAAAAGTACCCAACAAATGGGAAGTAGTTAAATGATTATAAAATACTATATGTCCATTTATGGAACTGGAAAACATCATGCTCATAAAATAAGACAGACTCAGAAAAATCAAAGATCAAATGTTTTCTCCTTACATGTGGAAGCTAGAAAAAAAAAAGGAAAAGAAAGGTGGGAGATCAGATATCATAAATACACAGGGAGGATCAGAGGAGCACAAGATGGTGAAGGGAAAGTCACCTCAAGAATGTCACACACAGAACTGAGGCTAGAATTTATGCTACTTGTGTGTCCTGCAAAGCCTCAATATGCTAATATAATTTAGACAGGTTTCTAACGCAGTGACCCCAGGCACAGGAAGAAACAAATGCAGATTTTCATGGCACACAATCCCAATTCTACTGTCCTTCCTATTCCGCCCCACCTCCCAACACACACTTCATTTCTCTTTGTCTAATCCATTGGACTTCTACTCTTCCCCTCCCCACCCTCCCTTGTTGTGGGTTAGCATCCACATATCAGAGAATATCTGGCCAACATTCCACTCTGCTCTCACTGAACCTGAACTGTTCCTCCTCATCCCAGACACCAGAATCCAACCTTGGAGGAAGTCCTCTAACCTGCAAATCACTCCATTCAACAACAAGATTTTATAACTGCTGGGGGGCTGGGGTTGTGGCTCAGCAGTAGGGCTCTTGCCTAGCACATGCAAGGCCCTGGGTTCGAGGTATTGTATCCTAAAAAATAAATATTAAAATCTTTTTTTTTTTAATTTTTAACTGCTGTTTTTACTGATGCAGTAGTTTCTACCTGTCTTAAATCATGTAACCCATCAGTAAAAACACTGACACTGTATCCCCAATATATTTTTGGATACATACACATATATATGTCATATATGTACACACATATATGTATAGGAAATTAATATAAACCCAAGTTTGAACATTTATATTGAGTCCTGTGGAAATGTTCTTGCTGTACTCAGTAATGGTAAGGAAAATCCTTAGTAGATGCTGAAAACTAGGACCACTGAGAACAGAGAATGGGCTGAAGCTCCCCTGCCTCCCCTCTAGTCCTTCACACTGAAGCTTCCCCTTATTCTCAGTGGTTTCTAAGATTTTAATCCTTTATTCCTAAGGAAGCATATCTCCATACTACATCTTTCCCCTCCTTGCAAAAATAATAGATTATTCCAAGTAATATATTAATTCCTTTTTCTTTAAGTCAATATTGTTAAGACACTGAACATTATTGAAAGAACACTGCTAAATCAGTCAAACCTAACTCAAACAAGGAAGCAGTTGATCATCCTATTTCAAACAAGGAAAAGAACATTATGACAGTGAAAATATGATGAAAAGAGAAGGGGAAATCACTAAAATGCCAGTCTCATCAATTTAATGAGGTGCTAAGCAACTCAGTGAGATCCTGTCTCTAAATAAAATACAAAAATGGGGGGGGGGGCTCAGTGGTTAAGTGCCCCTGAGTTCAGTCCCCACCCCCCACCCAGAGAAAAGTAGTATCAATCTAGAATTGTTCTTATATTTCAGTATGATTGACAAAATTCACCAATTTTTTTTTTTTTTGGAAGTTTTCACTTGGTAAGAGTTGCATCCAGCCAGGTGCAATGGCACACACCTGTAATCCCAGCTACTCAGGAGGCTGAGGCAAGAGGATCACAAGCTCAAGGCCAGCCTGGGTAACTTAGTAAAACCCTGTCTCAACATAAAATTAAAAGGTTGATAATGTAGCTTTGTGTTTACCAATCATGTGTAAGGGCCTGGGGTCAAGCACCAGACACAAACACACAGACACAGACACACACATACAGAGTGTTACGTATACCATGCCCAATTATTTCTCTCACTCTACACCAAAAAGATGGCTTAGCTAGGGCTGAGGATGTGGCTCAAGCGGTAGCGCGCTCGCCTAGCATGCATGCGGCCCGGGTTCGATCCTCAGCACCACATACAAACAAAGATGTTGTGTCCGCCTAAAACTAAAATAAATATTAAAAATTTTCTCTCTCCCCCTCCTCTATCTTTAAAAAAAAAAAAAAGGCTTAGCTAAGAAAACACTGGCCTAATAACATAGTAGACAAACATGTCTGCCAGTGCTCAGGTGATTGCCGTTACAGTTTCATACCTAATCACTCAGATATTTCCAAAATTTCAAGGATAATGCCATCTGATGTCCTACAGAGGCAGGAATAGAAGCATACATCTTGACTGAAGTCCAGCCACTGAAGAAAGGAACAAGTGAAGAATAGGAAATTTTCCCCAGTCCTTAATTTCTTTGAGACCTCTGCCTCTCTACCTTAAAGATTATAAAGAAGTATGCCTTTCACTGTTTAATACTGGATCTGCCACTATACTTGGAAAACGTGTTGCTTTTGTTTGTATAGCTGTGATCATGATCCAGATTTTTTTTTTTAAATCAACTATTTGATACATGAGTTTACTAAGTGTTCTTTTGTGAGGCTTTACCACAAGTCTCAGCAACAGAAAAAACTACAAGGTGATCAGGAGTTAAGGAATAACCATGGGAAATACATGGCAAAAGATTTGCTTAGTGGGGCTGGGGCTGTAGCTCTGTGGTTGAGGGCTCGCCTTGCACATGTGAGGCACTAGGTTCCCTCCTCAGGACCACATAAAAATAAACAAGATTAGAAAAAAAAAAAGATTTGCTTAGTGAAACTGGATGCATGAGGCTCCCAAATGCATTTCTCTCCATCTTTGTTATACTTTGTTGTGTTGAATAAATGTCCTCTAGTTACCACACTGTTTACCCCTAAATACGATTTAAGTTATTAGAACATGCTGGCAGATACTTAATCTAGAAATTACCTTTGAAATGCAAGAATGAAATATGCACATGATATCATTTACTCACAGCACCACACCCACGAAGGAAACCTGTGTCCTAACCCTTACTGGGGTGCTTTGTTGCCTGAGCCTGCAGTGATGGGAAAAGGGATGGAACCAAGTTTTCTGTGTGCTGAATGTGAAGTTGGCTTATCTAGTCCAAGCCTGATCAGCAACTCCAGAACAAAAATCAGAATGCAAATTTCCAGAATTCTGAGTTTACTGCTTTTGAGCAAATAACTTATCTAGTACCTTATGTGCCATGCACTTCTTAGAGGTTTCCGTGTGTTAACTCATAACTCCTCAGTTTCTTGTTTGATGGACACACCTACCCCACATCTCCCCACCCTCCTATTTGGCAACTTGGTAAAGCCTGTGGACTCCTGAATGATTTTAAATGCAAAAAATAAACTACATGGGATTACAGAAGAAACAAATCATATTGAAATACAGTAATGTACATAGCTATTTTGTTAACACCTTTAATAACCAAATGTAGGGAAGAGTTAATAACTACCACAAATTCAAAGCAGTGATGGACTGAAAGCCTAATTTAAGAAATTGCAGCAAATCTAATATGAAAATATGTGATTTCTTCTGGTCACAGATCAGTTATAGCATACACACACACACACACATACACACTATCCTTAGGAATCATTCGTTGCCTACTTTATAACTGAAGGAAATACTAAATTTCAATTATAGATGAGTGAAAATAAACCTGCAACATCCTTTCCACCAAGTTCCAAGCCCTCGGAGTATCCATCGACCTCAGGAGTAAAGAGCCCTGTAGTATCAACTCTAATCCTGCAGTCAAGTGGTCATTACCCACTTTACAAGGGGACTCAGGCACAATACCCTTATGGACTGCAGCGTAGCCAAGCAAATGAATTAAATTTGTGTGCATGCACAGTCTCAAAGGTAGTGGGGCCTCACCTTGATGGGGGGCTTCCGAGTGATGTGGGAAACAAGGAAGTTCATGGCAATGTCCTCACAGTTGATGTATTCGTCCACCATATCTCGGATGGCCTGGGGCATCACATAAGAATACAGGTAGGCATAATACTGTCAGGAGAAAAAAGGGAATCACATACTCTTGTTAGAGGACACAGTTCTTTGGCTTTCGGCAAAACTACGCATGGATCTAAGGACTGGCTGAAAGTGTGTGGAGGTGTTTGGGATGTGGCAATAACTGGGAAGCACTACTGGCACCTGGAGAGTTGGGCCAGGGTTGCTAACCACCTTTCAACACAAATCTGCAGTAAAGGATCACCCCATTCAAACTACTGTTGTTCCCCCTTTTGAGAAACCGAACTCCCATCATGTTATCTCATTGATATTTCAGCAATGTTGAAATCAATAACAAAGCTTTGTAAAACCTATCCAGACACCAGTTCAGGTGAACAATATTCTACCTATGACAGTGGTGATAAGAAATAATGAGGGGAGAAAGACTGGTTATCTTCTCAGTTCTCAAGAAATCACAGAACCATGAGACATTCAGTCTCTCTGGCCTCAGATTCCTCCTCACCATGGCCACCAGCTGCTCTCTGCTCCCAGCTATTACCACCTCCTGCCTGGCATACCCAGGGTCTCCCTGCTGCAGTGTCTCTTCCCTGCATGCTATTTCCCGCACAGCACACGGGGGTGTTTAAACAGAAGTCCAACTCCAAACCTATCCTGCCTTTACTCCACACCCTCCAACTGCTTCCCTTCCCACTCAGAGGAGAGCCAGGCACCGTGGCATGCTCCTGTAATCCAGATCCCTGGGAAACTGAGGCAGGAGTCAGCCTGAGCACTAGGTGAGAACCTGGCTCACCTTCAAAGGGCTGGGTACGAAGATCAGTGGTAAAGTGCCCCTGAGTTAAACCCCCAGTACCAAAAAACAAACAAACAAATGTTAGCTACATGTTCAAAATCTTTATTAGGCATTTATGATCAAAAAACTTGACTGTGGTACATTTGGAATGACCAATTTACCTTCTTTCAAGGGCAAAGACAAGCGGGCGACTTTTGGTTTTGGATTTTTGTTTCTGTACTACTGGAGGCCAAATCCAGGGACTCACTCATGCTAGGCCTGAACTACATCCAAAGTCCTTTGATGAGTTTTTCCTCCGTTTTCTTTAAATTTTATTTTGAGACAGGGTCTCATTAAGTTGTCCAGACTGGTCTCAAACTTGCAATTCACCCTGCCTCAGCCTCCCAAGAAGCTGGGATTAAAAGCAGTGCCACCACACTCAGCTACATAAATGCATTTCTTTAAAATGTCACTTAAGAAAAGTGGAAATGGCAGGTCAGGTTCATGCATGTAAGACCCATCCACAGAGAGCTGTGGTCACAAAGCTCCAGCCAACTGCTGTGAAGCAGGAACACTGAGGGCCTGGCCTCCATTTTTTTTTTTTTAATGCCCTCACAGATCAACTGTTTCATTCAGCACAATTATCTTGTTAGATAAAGAACGTCTAGGAGACATGACAAAATAGAGAATGATTATAAAAAATGCCAACTTTTGAGGGCTGAAAGAATGTTAACTTCAGGTAACAGGCAGCAAGTTTATTATCTCATAAGAAACACTCTAAGCAATGCCATTTCATTAGAAACTTAATGAGACCCTGTCTCAAAATAAAATTTAAAGGGAGGAAAAACTCATCATTGGAAACCTAAGAAACCTAAGGATTATTTTTTGACATTTACAGTTTGATGTTTGAAGTGAATATAACACTTTTTCTTTTTTTATGAGACTTTATTTTTTTAGAGCAGTTTTAGGTTCACCACAAAATTGTGAACAAAGTAGAGAGATTTTCCACATATTCCCTGCCCTCTCCATTTCCATCCCCCGCCAGAGTGACACATTTGTTATGATCAGTAACCCTACGTCGACACATCATAATCACCCTCACCCAAAGTCTACAGTTTACATTTAGGGCCCTTTTCCCCCCATTCTTTTTATTTTTTTATTGGTACATTATGGTTGTGCTAACAACGGACTCGTTATATATGCGCACACGTACACATTGTAGCAATACGGTTCCGACAATATCACTCCCCAGCACTTCCCTTCCACCCCCTAGTCCTTTCCCTCTATTGCTTCCCTTTGATTTCCATGACATCTGCCTTTATCTTCCTTCTTTCTCTTTAGCTTCCACATATGAGAAATATTTCCCTTGACCTGAGTTTGATTTACTTCACTTAATATAATGGTCTCTAGTTTCAGACATTTTCTTGGAAAGTGCCACAATTTCATTCTTCTTTATGGCTGAATAAAACTCCACTGAGTATACACACCACATTTTCTTTGTCCATTCATCCACTGATTGACACCTAGGCTGGCTCCATAGTTTGGCTGTTGTGAATTGTGCTGCTATAAACATGGGTACGGATTTATTACTGTAGTGTGATGACTTTAATTTTTCAGGATAATTACCAAGAAGCAGTATAGTTAGGTATATGGTTCCACGCCTGGTCTTTTGAGGAACCTCCATACTGATTTCCATAGTGGTCATACTAACTTACAATCCCACCAAAAGTATAAAGTGTTCCTTTTTTCTCCACATTCTCTCCAGCATTTATTATTTGTGATCTTGTTGACTGCCATTCTGACTGGTGTAAGACAAAAATCTCAGTGTAGGGAAATTTGCATCTGCCTAATTGCTAATGATGTTGAACATTTTTTCCTATATTTGTTATCCATTTGTATTTCTTCTTTTGAATTGTTTAATTTATTTGCCCATCTATTAATTGGGTTATTTGAGTTCTTTATTTATTCTAGCTATTAATCCTCTGACTGAAGAGGAGCTAGTGATGACTTTCTCCCATTCTGCAGGTTCTCTTCACATTCCTAACCATTTCCTTTGCTGTGCAGAAGCCTTTTAATTTGATACCATCCATTTATTAACTCTTGGCATTATTTCCCGAGCCCTAGGGGGTCCTATTGAGAAAGTCATTGCTACATGCTGAAGTGTTGACCCTACATTTTCTTCTAGGTATTGCATAGTTTCTGGTCTAATCCGAGGCTTTGATGCATTTGGAGTTGATTTTTGTGCAGGCTGAGGGGTAAGGGTCTAGTCCCCTCCTTCTACATGTGGATAACCAGTTGGCCCAGCACATTTGTTAAAGAGGGTATCTTTTCTCCAGGGCGTGTTTCTGGCACCTTTGTCAAGGATCACATGACCATGTCTGTGTGGTTCGTCCCCATGTCTTGCAGTCTGTACCTTTGGTCTATGTCTGTTTTATGCCAGGACCACACAGTTTTTGTTGCTGTAACTCTGTAGTCGAATTTGAAGTCAGGTATTGTGTGCCATCAGCACTGCTTTTTTGGCTTAGAATTGCTTTGACTATTCTGGGTCTTTTATTCTTTCAAATGAATATTTATGACTTTTTTCTAGGTCTATGAAAAATGTCATTTGGTATCTTGATGGGGATTGCATTAAATCTGCATATTGCTTTTGGTAATATGTTGGCCTCCATTTTTATCACAATCCAGATTTATTTTTACAAAATATTCTGATTTTTAAAAGGTGAAAGTGGGTAACACTAGGGGAGCAAAAGCATTTCTGTGAGCCAAGTGGAGTTCCATGGCTATGAGTTTGTAAATTTTGCTCTAGATTTTCAAATAGAAAAAACAGTAAGCTTCATTCAGAAAACTATTTATTTATTTAAAATAAAGGGATATGACCATTACTTTTAAAAAGCAATCAGTTTGAGAAGGCAGATTTATCAGCAGACAAATAAATTCTCAAGGTATGAATGAGCAGACACTAAGCAGTGGTTCCTGAGATGAGCACTCATTAGAGGTAGTTTCTTGACCACCTGCTGTCCAACACTCTACCCCTCTCACCACACTTGCAATCTTGTCCAGATCCACCAGAGTTTGGAAACACCAGGGCAAACTTTAGGAATGAACTACATACATTAAGTATTTACATTCAGACCTGGTGTGTACTTGACTCTTAGAGCACATCTCAACTCTGACCAGTCACTTCTCAAATGTTCAGTAGCCACATGTGGCCACAAGAGGCCAGTGACTACTTTATAGAAGAGGAACAGAAGGAAGATGAGTCGGGAGCAAAACCAGCACAATACAGCGCTAATAATACAGGGGAGGTACAGTGACTGAAGGGCTCACACTTTGGGTGTTCAGTGAAAACTGGGATATGAGTGGAGAAAGTGATAAGCTGAGGACCCAGGCAGAATTGGCAGGGCCCCCACAGAGATTCACAGTGGGCTGGGGACAGTAGTGGTTACTCTGAGTCAGAAGAGCACCAGGTTTAGCCTGCTGATGCTGGGCCTGGGTGGGACGGCGATGCTGACGCTGGAAGGTCTGACAGCCCCTCTGGCCCAGTGCCTTCCATTAATACAGAGGAGGGCCAAAGCCTTCAGGGAAACTGGCCTTGACAGCCTCGTGCAACCGCACAGGCAGTCTTCATCCTAACTTCTTACTCCACAGCTTCACTAAGCACAACTGGAGTCTTTAAAAACAGGAATGACCTATCTCTACCACAGAAGAGCCACAGAAGAAGCAGGAGGAGAGCTGATGTAAAGACAGCATTGCACTACCAAAGACTCAAGAGCTACTAAGAGCATGCCACTGTAAGCAGCTTGTCTCACCTTGTGGAAGAAGGCAGCACCTGTCAGCACCATGGACAGCTCACAGGAGTAGTTGGAGTTGTAGAGCCAGGACTGGTGAGGGATGTCCCACGCATGGTACCGGCCAGGGAAGCCCACGATGCGGTCCCGTGCTTCTCTCCACACCCTCAAAAACACAAGTGCATACACACCTGAGTACACAGCTCTTGGGCCATCAGGAACACTTAAAAGGAGTGCCTTTACCTTGAAGGCTCTCTGACCCCTCAGGCTGTGGGTGTGTGTTTTAATAAATCACAAGCCACACAGAATAAGAGGATATAAACCACATCGTGTGCTGCCTCCTTAATAAGCACTGCTTATTACGCCACTAGTTTCTGGCAGCCAGCATTTCTCCAGTGCTGAGTGGGAGTGGGTCTCCGGGATGTGGTATGTACAGCAATCTACTAAGCAGCAGGAAGAAGAGATCCATATTTATTTATTTTCATTTCATTTAATTTCTTTTAAAAGGCTTCCTTTTAACGAGCACCATGCCCGAGCTCAGCAGGGCACACGCTCTGTTGTCTGTGTGTGTGTATTCTCTTCTTTCTCTCAGAGGGCACATCATGGGGAATGTCATGGGGAATGTGTGGAGGCCACTGGTCTGACCCAAGAGACTCCAATGCACAGTCTGATTCCTAAACTGAACGGGGCTGAGCGAAACCTGAATAGTGAGAAGTGCTTTGCAGACCCATGTAAATGAAAGGTTCCATTGCATCCGAGAAGTAAATTGAGAATTCACTGTTTCAGTATGTTTGATAAGTTTCAAGAGAAATTTTTGTATCATTTCCAAATTTATAGGCAAAGTAGAATAAATAAAACCAGTCCCAATATTCACAGGCTGAAATCAAGAGAGTGAAAGACATCAGCTCCACCAAACCCTACAGGACCTAGAAGGTCTTTAGGAGATTCAAGCTGCCTGAGAAACACCCCTGCCCCTGACAAGAATCTGATTCCTGAACCAAAAGATTCCACTTCCAAAGAGCTCCTCTCCCAATAAGGTTGAGGGCAACTAATCTAGCCCAACAGATGACAAATCACAACTTCTATCCCAATACCTTCATGTGTAGGCTTTTTAAGACAACTGAAAAAATAAATTAAAAAAAAGAAAGAAAGAAATTTAGTTACAGGTGGACACAATGTTTTTATCTTACTTTTTGTGGTGCTGAGGATTGAACTCAGTGCCTCGTGCATGCCAGGCAAGCCCTCTACAGCTCTGAGCCAAAACCCAGCCCCTAGACAACTGATAATTTCTTGATTATGACAAAATATACACACAGAAAGTTTGCCTTTTTAAGGATGTGTAGTTCAGTGGCATTAAAGATATCTGTACTGTTGTGCAACCATCACCACCACCTACCTCCAGAACTTTCAGTTTCCCCAAATGAAACTTTATCCCCTTAAACACTAACTCCCCAGTACCACTCCCTAACTACGTCCTCCCCAGGCCCAGGAACTCACCACTCTACCAGTCTCTATGGATCTGACTGTTCCGGGTGCCTCACTGAAGTGGAATCACAGAGTACATCTTTGCGTACACACATCAGACGCTGCCCTGGTCACTCCATGGACATCCTCTCCACCCCGACCCCATCTGCCTGCCCCCTGGCTGCAGAAATCTGAGTAGGTCAGGACCCATCTTTTGCCAGAGGGAAGGGTTCTTATATGGTCTCTTTCCTTTCATACCTAAATCTGTTTCATTCTCACTCAGGTGAAAAAAGTAAACTGAGGAGGTTAATAAGGAAAGGCTTTTGGATCAAGGGATGCCCAAAGAGATGAGGAAAGATCAGGGCGGGAGGAGGTCAGGTGGAACATCAAACTCAACTCACCAGTTCCACTACCTGAGGCTAAGCCTCAAATTTCAAATGACTATTAAGAGATCATTAAAAGGCTTCCTTTTATTTTTCTCACCACTTGGAAATCTGCTGAGAAATGGCATGGAAAAAGGTCAAGAGTTTTCCTAAATCAGAAGCTGCAGAAGTCAGCCAACCAGTTTCTTAATAAAATTCAAACTCATCAAAGCTGAGCCTCCTTATCTAAATCATTCTTGGGAGGGAGGGGTGACAGTCGATTCTCCTGTTAACACCCATGGCTCTGTTCACAGCCCCAAGGCCCTCAGAAGGCTCTAAACTGCATCATGCCATGTAAAAAATACACTCCCTCTCCCCACCACCTGGAACAACATCTGGATAGCAATAGGCCATTTCTGGAATGGTTATGTGGCTTTGTCTTTCATACAGACAGGTGGACAAGCAGCTATTTATTTTTGTGTACAAAGGAACACACCCAGTTAGCAGGAATTTTTTTTTAAGTCACAGCCAGCAACAGACTTGCTTCAATAACCTAGTAAGAGGCCAAAGGAAATGAGAGAGGTTGTTGAGGAGAGAAAAGAAGAGATGTTCTAATGTGTCAGAAATGTGTGGAGTCGTTCTTCATACACAGATGTAAAACACAGCGATAAAGTTGCTGCTTCCATCTGCCAAGAATCCTGAGGGTGAGCGAGTGGGGGGTGGGGTGCACCCGGGGGTGAGCAAGGGTAGGGGAGGGGCCTCCAGCACACAGAATGGAAGCGCAGCTGCAAAGAAAGAGCTTTGTCCACAATCCAAACTTAATTTGTAGGAGACCCCCCAAGCAAGCCCACTCCAGAGCTTCTCAAACTATCTGAAGCACCCAACTAATTTTTCCCATGTATTGTGAACTAATATTTTGGTAAAATATAATAATTTATGACAATAAATGAAATGCATGAGCCCCCCTGTTGCTTCTGGGCTGCCATGAGGTGAGCAGCTTTGCTCCACTGCACCCCTCCCTCCAGGATGTTCTGCCTCTCCACAGGCTCAGCCATGTCACCATAGACTGGCACCTTGAAAAATCTCTCCTCCTTTTAACAAATAAACTGAGTGTTTTCTAAAATACAACACCAAAGAACAAAGAAAACAAAGCTAAACTGGACTTCAGCAAAATGCAGAACTTTGTGCTTCAAGGGCTACCATCAAGCAAGCGAAAAGACAGACCATCAAGTGAGCAAAACTACTTGCAACTCATCTCAGGTAAGGTACTTACTTCTAGAACATGTAGACTTACGACTTGATAATAAAAGGACAAATAGTGCCAACAAAAGTGGAACAGGTTCTAAACAGAAATTTCTCCAAAGAAGATACGTAAACGGCCAACTGGTCTTGAGCACATGAAAAGAGGCTCATCATTAGTCACTAAATGAAATTAAAATGAGCTCCAACTTCATACCAACTTATGATGGCTATAAATAAACAGAAAAGAACAAGCATGCACACGGACCTGGAAAAGTGGATCTTTGCACACTATAATGAGAGTGTAAAATGACACAACACTCTGGAAAGCAGCTTGGCAGGTTCTCAGAATGTTAAAACAGCTGCCCTGTGATCCAGTCATTCCACTCCTAGGTAGAGACTCTAAAGAAATGAAATGTTCATATGAACACTCGCACATGGATGCGTGTAGCAGCATTATGGGAAACAGCCAAGATGTAGGAAATACCCAATGTCCACCAATGGATGAACGGACAAAGTGTGGTCTATCCTATCAAAGGTGTGAAGCACTGGTACATGCTACTAGACCGATAAACCTTGGAAACATGAGGTTAAGCGAATGGAGCCAGTCACAAAAGGCCACTTATTGTATAGTTTCACTTACATGAATCCCCAGAATAGGCAAATAACAGAGACACAAAGCTTAGTGGCTGCCTACAACTTAGAAGGGTTGCTAATGGGCACAGGGTTTCTTTTGGTGGTGATGAAATTTTCCAAAACTGAGGTAATTACACTATAAAACCACTGAATTACAGATTAAGTGAGTAAAATATATAAAAATTATGTTCAATAAACAACACCAAAAATGAACTGCAAGAAAAATTATAACACAGCTGGATGCCACAACAATGCCAAACTGCTTTAAAAGTTTCTAAAGGCCTACCCTCAGTTTTTGTACTCACCTCCCTGTGGATGTGTTAACACACTGACCCTAGGCCCACATACCAGTTAGAACCTACACCGAACACCCTAACCCACCTCTCCTCTTACCTGTGACGTTCTCCCACCAGGATGCTTATGCTCTACAGCAAAGTGTGTATGAGATTCCAGAAAGCAGCACAGGGCCGTGGCTGAGCGGCTTCTGGAGTTGGCCAGCCCTGCACTGGAATCCCTGCTCTGTCTGCCTCTAACATTCTGGCTTCGTGGCTCTGTTCTCTGGAATCTCAATTTACTCCTATGTAAGAAGATACGACTATAACTTCCATCAAATTCTAGGCATTCTGAGATAAACCAAAGTGCTCAGCTAATCCCCGGCACACAACATGGGCACCACAGATGTCAAGTATCATCACCGTCACCTTCTCCTCCTCCCCCATCTTCCTACTGCATCTTTGTGTCCCACCCGCTCTTCCCAGGCCCAGGATTCTGTACTGCTTCAACGCACAGCAACACAAAAGAACAAAGATACACAACACTAAAGAACAATTCATGATGGAACTCATTCATTCTAGCAGACTTAGCCTGAAGGCCCTTGGGGTTCACATGGTCCACATGTTCCTTTAAACATGGAGAAACTGACATCCAGAGTGATGCCACCTAGCCAGCAGCTGCAGAAGCTGGCCTCTCACTCCTCTACCTGCCTAGGAGTTGGTCCCCATTCCTTTGATGACACCAAGCTCTGAATATTTTTGAGAGAATACACTTTGCTTCTACTCTAAGCCTACAGGGTTTGAGGTCAAGGATGATATACCTGCAGCTCCAGGAGCAGGTGCGAAACCCTGGTCCAGCCAATCAATGAATCCCACCTCCCTAGCCTCAGGGAAGAACCTATGTGAGAGCAGAGCAGGAGAGGACAAGAAGTAGAATCCTCCAACACCAGGGTCCTGGACAGCCCTGGCCGACATAGCCTTTCTACCTCTGAGGGCTTCTCTGTCACTGTCACCAAGAAACCCATTTTGCTCCCTAACCCAGGCCTGAGTTATTGTTTTCTATCACTTGCACACTCAAGTGTTCTTGACTGAAAAAGTCCTCACCGAAACCCAAACATGATTTCATCGTGGCGGAGGTGAGCATCATCATCAATGGACAGGATGGCCTCGGTTTCAATCTCATTCCAGGGTAAGAATCGATTGTTCAAACTGTTCTTCTCAGTACGAACCACCTGGAGCAAGGGAGAAAAATGCAAGAAATCAATGCCGCATTACAAAGCAGATTCAAAACTGTCCTTAGGTCCGAGAAGACTAGCTAAGTCTACTGAGTCATTTGGCCTGATTACCTACCGAATGTAAAATCAAGCATATGCCTTTCAGGGATAAAAACTGCCTTTTGATTCAAAAACTATACAAGGATTTCACATTCAAACTTTATTCACTGTTAACCAATTTTCTTGTGAATCAAACTGATGCTGAGGATCTTCCTGTGAACACAACCTAGGAAATTGAAAATATCCTTCCCAGAGAACACAAGGTGGCCAAGTGGAACCGAGGGTCCAGTTCCCAGCCCCAAGGCCCCCAGCCTGTCCACAAATTCTTAAAACCAAATTCTGAAATCCCTCAAGTCTACATCATTTCTGACCCACAACTTTAAGGCTTTGGGGGGAAATACAAAGCAGGAAGAAAAAAAAAAAAACGCACAGCCTATCCTGTTGAGATCAGCCACTTCCCACTGCAGTGCCCACCTCCAGGGCTGACCGCACAGCCCAAAGCCAGCTTCCCTCTCAAGCTGGACAGAGTGGAGCAAAGAGCCAGGTCCTATGTCCATCAAGTCAACCACCCTGTACCAAGCAAGGTGACCCATACATGCAAGGCAACATTTGCTTAATAAAACAAGGGTCAGTACCCCAAAGGGTAGAATGGTATTATAACCAAAAAAAAAAGTTTACTTGAACCAGACCCCAGATAAGCCCAGTTCACCTTCAGTGCAGCTGGCAGCTTTGTTAGTCACCTGACCGCCTAAGTCTCAATCATTAATGGTTGCAGTCATACTCAGACAGCTCACTTTATTTTTACAGAATCTTCAGATAATTAGTCCCAGTGATGAGGAGCTTTCATTTCATTCTCAAGAAACAAAGAGCATCTCATGGAGAATGGTCTTTTTAGAAAGCCAGGAAGGTCATCTTACTGTCAACAGACACTTCCCTTATACTGAGGATAGCTTCTACCTGGCTTGGCGTGTCAAAGGTACCTGAAGTGTTGGAGCTTACATGTGGTTCCAAGGAACTCCATGACCAAACCAGCAAGCTCACCTCAGCTTAAAACACCGCTCCTTCCCCTCTACAAACAGTCTCTCCCAGAGACCCATCTGCCTGCAGATGCCTCTGGTCACACCCCACTTGTCAGAATGTCACGTCTATGTTCTTGAAGCAGAGAACTTGTACTGGAATTCATTCATTCTAGCAGACTTAGTCTGAAGGGCTTTGGCGATCACAGGGTCCACATCTCTTTAAACATGGAGAAACTGACACCCAGAGTGACGAGACACAGCCAGCAGCTGCAGGAGTGGCCTCTCACTCCTCACCCCAATCCAGTCCTTCCTGCTAAGAGGAGGCTAACTTTATGAACTTCTTCAATCCAAATGCATTCTTTTTTTTTTTTTTAATAATGAGTTCTTTTTTGTTTTTTAGTTGTAGTTGGACACAATACCTTTATTTGTTTATTTTTATGTGCTGCTGAGGATGGAACCCAGGACCTCGCACGTGCTAGGCGAACGCTCTACCACTGAGCCACAACCCCAGCCCAATCCAAATGCGTTCTTAATGTACATACCATCAGTTATGTAAAATAACTCATCACTTGGAATGTCACTCTACCTCAACCCACAGGTGCTTCTGCCCAAATCACAGCAAAAGATCTGCAACAGGTGTGCTGCTACAGACACCAGGTATCAGAGCCGAGCAAGAGACACCAAAATCCACCTCGCCCACGCCCCGTCTGTGGCAGAGGGCCTGCACTGGGCTTCAGAAACAGAACCAAGCAGCTACAGCCTGAGGCAGGAGGAGAGCAGCCAATGCGGAGCCTCCAAGTTCCCATCTCAGCAGCTGCTGACTCCCCAGGGAGCACCATTTGGCAAGTTTTGTAAGACACATCCCAATTTCAGAAATGTTAAAACAAAAATGAGGTCCAACTCAGACAGGATGGAATACAGCAGCGGCTCAGGCCCCGACGCACCCACCTCACCACTGACTCTTCATTCCCAACACACCTAGCATCCGCTTCTCACCACACTGCAATCCTGCCAGCTGGCCGAACTGCTCCTCAGCTGGAACAGTGGACATTCACAGCCAGGTCTCCCAGGGAAGACCCACCTCATGGAGCAGCTGAGAGACAGCTTGCACATTCACATGTAGCTGACCACTTTGGGGGTTAATCTCCAGGAGGCTCATCTACAGCAGAATTAGTGATGGCAAAAGAGCAGAGCCACAGCACCCATGGGATCCACAGCCCAGCAGCAGTGACATCACTGGGGCTGTAGAAAGGCAAGCCCTGAGTAGCCCTGACAGGATCTCCATTTCTCAAGACGCCTTGTGACTGCTGTGCACACCAAATTTTGAGAAGCGTTAGAGCGAAGAGAAAAGCACGGCTTTGGAGTGAGGACCATACTAGCTACACCACCATGGCACCATGCTATCCGCAAAAACTGAAGTTATTTATAAGCCAAATAAGACAGACAACCAAAATGTGAAAAGGAAAAACAAAAAAAAAAACCTAAAATGATCACACTCCGATACCTAGAACACATCCAAAATAATCTAACTGGTTTACAAAATGAACCAAACCAAGAGAACCTACTTATTATAAGACCAGGGTGGAGTCAGAGATGGAGGAGCAATGTGGCCGAGACGTGGCCTGGATTTCACCACCAGCTTTTCAGTAAGTCTATTAAAATCCATCACTTGGGTAATCAAGAGGCAAGAAAGGAATCACCATTGATGCTAGGAACACAGTGCCCCTCCCCTGGACCAGAACTGAAGCAAGATGTGCAGGTACAGGAACTGCATTTTAACCATCAGAACAGTCAGAGAAAAGGAAAGCTGTAAGCATCACAGACACAAGTGTCGAGTACTGCAGCTTTTTTTGTGGCTGGCTGGCCAACAACTGTGGTCAGAGTAGGTGGCCTTAAGAATTGAGAGCAGGGCTGGTGATGTGGCTCAGGGGCAAAGGGCTTGCCTAGCAGGCAAGAGGCCCTAGGGTGCAAAAAGGAAAAAAAACTAGAGCAGGGTTCTCTAACAGGAGTGGCCCCCACCCCTACCCACCAGGGGACATCTGGCAATGTCTGCAGACATTTTTGGTTGTCACAATGGAGAGTGAGCTGTTTGGGTCTAGTGGGTAGAGGCCGGAATGTAGCTAAATTTTGCAATGCAAAGGACAGCCTTCCCCTGACTTGAAGAATGATTCAATCCAAAATGTCATTGGTGCCACTCCTGAGACACCCTGATTGAGTCGATCTCCAAAAAGATGAGTAAAGCAGACAGTATTTCAGGAATAACTGAAGTTCCTTATCCAAGGACAACCACCTCCTCCCACAACCCTAAGACTTCTGCCCTTACAAACTGCAAATATAAACTAAAGTTCAGGTGAGGTGAGGGAGAAGGGAGGTGGTAAAGAAACTGCTTCAAGGCTGGAGTGCTCGATGGCAAGACACAAGCTTGGCCAAATAACCATTATTGGTTTGGGCACCAAAATCAGAAGGACAAAAAGATTCAAGAATTTCTAAAGGCAGACAGAGAGATCAGCATTAGCCTCCAGGAGTCTGAAAAACGCTGAGAGAATGTAAAAAGAAACTGGTCAACAAGAGTATTAGTGCCTGACATTTAGGGGAAAGATTCTCATTTTTGATGATATTGTTCAGTTTCAAATTACAACAGCTCCCACCCCAACACTGTCTATTTCCTGGTGTTATCACAGCACGGTGCTACTAGAAACTTATGGGTACACTCTGGTAACTAGTGAACATGAAGAATGATTTGCAAATTAATGCTCTAATCACTGGTATGACATTAACCAGAATGAGCAGCGCACAGTGCCTGGCATATGATAGACTTCAACAGGCAGTTTACACAGTATGAGTGAATGAGTTGGAATTAGCACATAACTAAGTCTTTCCGTTCTGTTTTCAGAATGATATAAATACCTGAAAAGATCAAAATTATCAATGAATATTCCAATCTTTTTAATATTAAAGAATGATAATTAGAAAGGAAATAGGAAGTCTGACAATATTTTAACCTAAAGAAAAAACCCATCAGCCTACATGGGTCAAATGGGGAGCAGCACTCGCTACCATTCACCCTCCTGGTTTCACATCCCCTGCTCCCCATCGGTGGCTCCCTGCTTCTTTGTTTGCCATTGTGCATAAAAGCCTTCCCTTCTGTCACCACACCTTCTTCTCATTCATCTCAGCGGAACAGGGAGGACAACACTCCTGGCCTAGAACTCTGCCACCTACTAAGTTCAACAACTTTAACACACATAAAATGCTGTCCTTCTCTTTACCATCACACTCGGCCCACCAAGGGCCGCAGCCTCCAGCCTCAACACCACAGCATGCAAACACAGTTCCTAACAAATCCACTGAGAAAACGCTGTGCTTCCAGACACCACTCGGCTGAGAACGGAAACAGCAGCCAACTTCAGCCTTCCAGCCTCCTCTTCCTCTAACTGAAAAAGCAACCAACCATGGGGCTCAGGAATCAGGAAAACGAGGCCCCAGCAGAGGCTCAGACACCAGCACAGAGTGAAACAGAGCTGGGGGTGAGTGGGGAGGGGAGCAGAGAGGCCACCAAATGAATGGGCACCAGGACTCCTGGATCTTCCAAGGGACTCATTCATCAATAAACACCAAGTGGTGGGGGCCACAGCTGGGAAGTGCAGAAAAGGAAGGGAAAGGAGTAAGAAAATAACATGGTGAACTGGTTTTCCAATTATAACCTGGAATACTGCGCTAATACATATAAAAACTGCCATACATTTTAGATTGGGACAAGCCTGTTTTAACTTATAAAAGTTGGCAATGATCCTGTAAAACTGTTTTACCTTAAAGTCAGGTGCAGTGGCACTCAGAAGGCTGAGGCAATAGGATCCAAGTTCAAGGCCAGCCTCAATTGGTTAGGGCCTTGTTTTGGGTTGGTTGGTCTTGGTGCAAGAGATCAAACTCAGGGCCTCC